TCAACAGCTAATTGGTCTATCACGCACCCCACCTTCAARACGGATGTACATGCATTAGTTTTCTCTAACAGCGAAAAAAAATTCTTTTTTCATCTTGCATGACATCCACACAGGAAAAGGAAACCTTAAGCCAAAGGTCGCGTAATTCTACAGCCATCTTCAACCGCTAACGATTTTAAAACAGCTTGCTTTGCAAGTGTCGTATAGCTGAGGATTAAATCTAGTCACGTCTCTCGAGCTAAAAATATATTTAACTATTTCCTCAAGGGAAGCATGAAGTCTGCCACTAAACCGTGCCTACCTTGAGCATTGCAATTAATCGCGATATAATGATTAGATGAGTTCCGGTGGAATTTTTTTAACGAGCRTCGCTGCATTACGGCTTTGACTCGGATATTCTTAAATTGTTGTTTACATTTACCAATGTTTCCTTGCCGCTAATGTTTTGTCGAGCAATAAAACGTCTGGGTTGATCTAAGTCATGACACGGTACAGCTCACAGATTGAATCTTAATTTAGCGCGTTCAGTTTTACGGAGGAAAGAAAACCGGAGAGCCCGGAGAAAAACCCTCGAATCAAGGGAGAGACTAAACAAACTCTGCTCTCACGTGATGCCGAGTCCCGCGGGAATCGAATCCGAAACCCTAGAGGCGAGATTCGAGTCTTACTTTCCTCTTCTCGTATATGAAGACATGGTCCAAATGGATTATAGAATTACACAATAATTAAATCTTAAGAAGGAAAAAATACTTRAGGAAATGACACGTGGAATGAAATTACAGAATTCTCTGATTAAAAATAATTACCAAATCGAAAATTCTGCATTAATTTTTTTTTAATTATCACGAAAAACAAAAAATCAATAAAAATCTTTTTTGGTAAAGTGATTATTTATATTAAGGAACAACGCCTTATTGGAACAATAACTGGAAATATTGACTCATTGTTTGTCGTCAAAAACTGGTTAAAAAGGACTTTCTAGAGCTTAGCGTTCGTTGAAACTGAAACTAAAAGAAAATATCAGGCGTTAAAAGATTTTTGGTTTATCGAAAGAAAAAAGCGCTGTTGATAAAAGTAAAAGCCAGAATAGAAAGCCTTAATAAATTTTCCTCGAAAATAGTTTGAAAAAATAGCTCAGATTGGCGTAGATTTTTTTCTCTGTATGTATAAACGTGTAGGAAAATATATGTGAGAAGGGAGGATTACTGAAAGTGCTTTTGGCGTTTACTATTAGCGATGATGAACGTATATCTATCCTGTGCTTCATGAGGATTTTTCTCCGCAAAAATTTAATGCTACATTCGAACTAGTAAAGCAACTACTAAATCCCATTAAATCAAAAACCGTTTTATTTTTTTTATTATTATTATTATTATTATTATTATTATTATTATTATTATTAATTCATGAGGTCGGTGACCAATGGCGACTTTGCTTTGTA